GAAATCTCAGTTTCTCCCATTAGAGATGCTTGATTTCATATTAATAAGTATCTATATTCACTAGAGACTGCCTAAATCAGTTCCACATTTCCACAATGGGTCTTACGTGCCAGACCAGAAGCAGTTATTCTTTTTCTAGTGCAATAACTTTTTAATTTAATTTAATTTTATTTCTAAATTTTATGAGAAACAGGAACATGAGAGAACTGAACTTGAAAATTCCTAACAAGCTTGAGGCTAGGACACCCGCTTTCAGGTCAGCTGCTCGCGTGCTTTTCATCAAGGACTTTAAATAATCAGAGTTTTCATGATTTGTATGTGTATCAGTATGTGCTTGTCACTTCCTCCATACTTTATGACTTTCTAAGCCTCTTGTGTGAGAAGGAAAAGCCTGTCAAAATATCACTCTCAAATGACCAGAACTAATTAACAGTCACTGTTTCTCTTCTGCTTCCTCCTCCCTCCCCCTACCCCGCATACTATGCATTTAGATAAAAGGAGATCCTCACAAAGCCTGATGACAGTATTACTTGATCTTAAAGGCTGGAAATCAGTAAGGTAGCAATAGGACTTGTGTTAAACATATATTTGCTCTACGGACTTAAAAGCAGATCTGACAGCATTCCTGTATGAATTAAACCATTAACACTGCAGTTAATGTTTTTCTGTATAAATTTTGTAAAAACAAGCCCTAATAGAATCGTAACTTATAGAACATAACTCATATGTATGAAATTAAAAGATGGTCCTTAATTATTTTTTTTTCATGGTAAATACTATTCAAATTTAGACTGTGAAGTATATTTTTTTTTGGCAGGCCTAAATTATTTCAGAATTCCGAATACTAATTTTTACGTGAAGCTTCTGAAAATACAATTGCAAGCAAAAGTCAACTATCTGGGCACGTAATTCTGTCATGGGAGAGAGGAGTGGAAATAGCTTGTGCCGATCCAGTCCTTGCACTTCCATCACATCTATTCCAAAGCTCTCAATTCTAAATCGGCTTTGTTTTGCCTTGCAAAATCACAGCCACCTTTTAGCATATTATGAATGTTTCTTAATGTTATGTATTGACTGATTGAATAATTTGAGGTGGTGTTGATTATATATTTAAAAAAACCCCAACAAACCCAAAACACACTGATAAGGTAGCTAGGCACTGAGATACCCACATAGTTTAGTGATAAACATTGCATTAAGATTTATTGTGGACAAATAACTAAAACCTGAAAATCAATTAGGAAATTATTGTAAAGAATGGAAGTATAGAGCAATAGAAGATAAAGACAAAAGCAGTATTGTGAACTGCTAATTAGCACTGCTGAGAGTAAAGCTGCTCAGGGACTTCCTATGTAGTCAGTGGAGCACACCCAAATCCCCAGGTTGCTGTTCCTCATATTTAAGGATTTAATCTTTTCATGGAAACCAAAGTCCAGTTAAACATGTTGTTGGGACAGAGCTGATGTAAAGATCAGGAAGCTGGGAAGCACCTGTGTGTCCTGTAGTTTCACCATAACCAAATAAAGATTAGCCAACAAGAAATTCTGCCAGTTTTGTCCATAAAAGGAGCTTTCAAATTGGGAAAAATCACTGCAGATGCTTGCGGTGCAGGTGTTGCTGCAGGGAAACATCCTGCAGAGGCTCACTTAGCGAAGCCCCACTTAATTCACGGAGTTTGCAGAGTTATAGTTAGCCTTGGGTAGTGTGAGAGGGGACCGAGTCAAATTTCAGTCTTATTCTTCATTCTGATGCCAGTGGCCGTTTGACCCTGAGAAGTTTTAGGCCTTAATTGCTTTTTTCCCTTTTTGTGCTAATAAAATGGGGCCTGCCTAGCCATCACAGGGAAGTCTCAGATGAAAAGCAGCATTTCACTTAATTAATAAAATTTATTCCATGGCTGCATCTAGTAACATTAATCACTTACTGAGCATTAAATTAAAGTAAAAACTGCAAAACTCCTTTCATGTGAAAGGAATGCATTGGAGGTGACCTGTTGACCTGAAGTGTTGCTTAAAAGCTTTAAAAAGCAATATAAAATTTGTAAAAGATAGTGTGAATAATGTTGCTTTAGAAACAAGTTACTGATAAACATTCCAGTTTGATAAAGCTGGACCCAGGGGTTAAAGTTCTTTTGTGAGTGTTACTTAGAGGACCGGTAATTGTCTGGTTAATGATGTTGTATTTCGGTCATACGAGCAAGAGGTAGATTGCTGAATACCAAGTAGTGGGACTAAAACCGAACAGAGTTTGCCCTGATAAGCTTGAAAAGCTGCAGATTGCACTTCAGATTCACTAAGTAGCAGCCTTTTTCATGTTTAAATATAAAGAGAGGAGGCAAGGGTGTAATTAAACCCATCAATTTTTCAGCGTGAGGGGTAAATGCATTTGAGAAAACTTGTCTCTGTATATTTCTACATAATGGCATACTTGGGGGGGGGGGTTGTGAGGCACCAGCCTCAGTGTAGTACCTACTTCTCTTCAACTATATGGCTGTGCATATGGAAAGCTACCAGCGAGAGTAGCAGGCATCCCTGGGAAAAGAGCCCAGAGGGCTTTGTCTAAAGCCTTCTCAGCTGTAAGGTAGAAATTGTGCTCGGCAGAATGCCCACTTTAAATTTCACCAGGTTTGAAAACTAAATAACCTTTTCCTCCCTTGTGCAACTGCAATGCTAACAAAGTTCCTGCAGTCCGGATAGACAGCCCGACCGCGGTTTGTCCAAGGGCAGGTGTTGAGTCATTGCTTTCTCACGTCCCACCATTGTTGGCGCTGCTGGGGGCCGGCTGGGTGATAACACCCCATTTATCCTGATGCATTTTTAACCACAGTGTCAATTAATATTTGCTGGTTTAGTGCATCAAATTGACTTATGTGGAGGTTGACTGATTGTCAGGGCTGGCAAGTGGAAAAGGAGGAGTGGAAATCATGCAAAAGTAGGCAGGTCCCTTCCATAGGTAGCAAGGTGCTGTATCCCCAGACCTTATGTAATGAAATCAGCTCTGTGTAGTGAAAATTGGAGCAGAGTTGAGAGAGGACCTGGAATTGCTGGTCTCAAGTGCTAACTTCAAAAATAGCAATTTTTGCATCTGTTTCTTGACCTCTCATTCCCCTTTTCCTCCTACTGATGCTTCATTAAAAACTATACTTCCCCAGTCATTAACAGCTAAAATGTGAAATGAATGAAGCGGGATTCACGCTTAGTCAAGGAATCAAGAGATGATTCAGCAATGAATTAATGATGGCTCTGGGAAAGAAGCTTGGATTCTTCAGGGCATAGTGAAACACTGATGGGAATAATAAAAAGGAAGAGGCCAAGTGGCCATAAGAATGAGAAATGGAGAAGGTCGTGTCTCTGCATTTCCAGCAAGGGCAGCACTGACAGAAACAAGTGAGAAGTGCATGCACTCTTAAGCACAGGGAAAGATGATGCAAACCAGCCCAAGAGCTGATCTGGTTGAGAAATGATGGAGAAATAACTATGTGGTTATGAGTCAGTAATTGATGTTTTTCTGTTATGGATGGAACAGCTCCAGTATTCCCAAAATTGTAATTTAAAAATTACACAATGTGCAAAATTGTAAATCTCAAATCGCTCTTGTTGCTCTGAATTTTTAGTTGGTGCACTTCAGAAGAAAAGTGTTCTTTTTTCAGAAATAAGGCTAAACGAGGAAAATCTCAATGCTAGTTTTAATTCTAGTAAATCTAATCTCGTTTTACCAGGCCTTTTCTTATTGCCTTAGCCAAGTGATGCACCTTGCTTTAGATGCCTGCTGTGCTCCTGTTTGTTATTGTAGCCATCATACTTCAATATTAGTAACATGCATTTGTAGGATCAAATAGATCTTGGACAATCAGATGATGCATGATGTACAAAGCGTTGAGCTGATTGATTTTACTGCTGTGTTTTTGGGGGATCATTTGGAGGAGAATGCTGAATGTTCTGGGTTTGCCCACTACATTCCCAGTCTTATGGACACTGCTTTTTCCCAAGAAGGCGGCTGTTTGCTAATCAGATGTTCTGTTGCTTCTGGAGTTCTGATGCTGCACCATTGGAAGGCAACATTGAGCTCAAAGATGAGTCTCCTGTTTAAGTAAAATAAAAAAACCCAGAAGCCAGCAACCCTATGTTTTCAAAATTAATTACAAATATGGTACCAAAATACTTTCCTATGCAGCCTTGCTGTTTCAGCATAATTCTGCTCTGTACATGACGCACAAGCAGCAAAAGCTTAAGATTTTGTTACTGCAAGACTGCTGTTTATTACTAACATCAGCAGTTGTACTACTGTTGCTTCAGCCTGAACCTTCTCCATTCCACTTGCATCCTCTCGGCATCGCCTCCTACCTCAGGCTCTTACTATGTTCAGATGTATTCCAGCTGCCTTGCCTAAAGTACTGATAATTACCTAAAATCAAAATGTTTTTTGGTTTTGGGCATGAGGGCGGAGACTTAATGTGAGTGACTGTAACTCTGGAACATGATACTGTAGAGATCTGAATAGTCCCCAGTGCTGTTAGATGAATTACGACCGTGTTTTGTATATTATCATGTGTAAAATGTTGAGAAGATGTTGTAGCAGAAATGGATTGACCCTAGATACAGCAGTAACTTTTAGTCACCAATGTGGTGTGGGGTTTTTTTCCTGGGAATGTGACCTTTTTTGTATTTTCTTGTATTGTTTGGTCGTCTTTTCAGGAGTGGCTATTTAATAGGAAGCAATAAGAGACTAGAATACAACTATGACTGAACTCTGCAGTTAGCCTATATCTAACAGACTGCTATTGAAACAGAAAAAGTGTTTGGTGTATTTAATAGCTAAAATTTGTCAGTTAAATAGTTAAAATTTATCTGGCAAAATACAAATATTCTGAAGTATTTCAAAGCATTAATCTTCCATTTAGGATCATATTATAGGGGTGGTTTTTAGAGAAGAAGGAACAAAATCCATCTAGCGTGGTTATCTATTCTCAGTATAACGTACTGTTACTGTCATTTTTCTAGGGGTCGCCTCTGTTCGATCTTATCAAGCAGTCAAAAGAACGAGAAGGCCAAACTGATCAGCCTGAGCCCACTTCCACGCTCAATCTGCCTCTCCAACATAATCACACTGCAGCAGACCTGTAAGTGATGTGCATGCTTGAGGTCTAGTAAAATGTGAAGTTAATATTGCCCTTAATATTTAAATCTACTTGTTAGGCTTGATACTTAGGTTATGTTGAACTGTTGTATTTGCTACTGCTTCTTATACATGTAAATTTAGCTAAATGAAATTTTGACTTATTTTTTTCCAAGCTCTATCAAACTTGTAATTGCAAACTGTTTTCTTGCTTGTCTAGGAATAAGTAAGTTCCTTTATCAGGTATTTAATCAAGAACTTGAATTTTTAATCCCTTATATGGGAATAACAGGTTACAGTAGCAATTAATTTCTTCTAATGAGGGAAGAGTTCCTGCAAGTATTCATACAAATTTGTTCCTTTATCCTGTGATGTTGAAGTGCTTAATATGTGTTGAATCTCCAGCTATCTTTCTCCTGTGAGATCTCCAAAGAAGAAAGCATCTGGACCTCCTCCAAGTGCTACTTCCACTCCAGATGCTCAGCCAGCTGTGACCCCCCAAACACAGAAAGCACAGAAATCTACCTCCCTCTCTCTCTTCTACAAAAAAGGTTTGTTGCTTCTGTACGTGCTGAAATTGCAAAGTTATCTCTTGTTATTTATCCTTTTTGGATTTTGGAGCTCAACATTTCTTAAAAGATTATAGTAGAATCTGTATTAAACACTGTGCAAACCCTCAGCTGCTCTTGGAAGAAATGGTAAAAGGATGTCAGCAGGTTAATGCGTGCACTCTACACACTGCAAGTTCGAACTGAAAACTTACCTACTGATTGTAAGAATGGCCATATGGGCTCAGAGGGAGGGTTCTTCTAGTATCCTTTTCCAGCAGTGACCATAAATAGTTGCCATGGGAAGCTTAAGAACTGGGCAAGCATATATGGTGTTTCCCCCTGAATGCTTTCCCAAGCTTTGACTTTCTCCAGTTTGGGTGTTTTCCTGAGCCTTTTGCGATGTGTCCACTTAGTAACTCTCAATTTGTGTTCCAAATGCTTGTTCAGACTCTTTTTGAATCAACATAGACATACATGTGTAGCATTGTTTGGTGTGGACTTCTGTGTGTCCATTACCTGTTGTATGAAGAACCTTTTCCATTTATTTTGAACTTGGCTTCTACTACCTTCATTTGATGGCTCGTAGTTCTTGTAGTGGGAGATAGTGAACGTTTGTTTCTGCCCATCCTCCATCATGCTCCTTTTATTTTGTATACCCCTGTTATTACTATTTCAGTTTATTTTTCTTTCTTTCTCAAGTGTATCTACTGGCCTATCTTCGACTACATACCCTGTTCTTTCGGCTTCTTTCTGATCATCCTGACCTGGAACCCTTGATCTGGACCCTCTTCCAGCACACACTGCAAAATGAGTATGAACTTATGAGAGACAGGCACTTGGACCAGGTAACATTAACAAAAAACTTTTTAAAAAGTTGAAAAAGACTCTCCTGAACAAAATGTTCCTTATACCTTTACAATGTTTCTTTAGCCATTAGAAATTGTAATCTGAGTTTTTATGTCTCTCTTCATCACTCAGAGGAGAAACTAATTTAGAGTGAAGTCTATCATCTCAGGTTTTTTTAAGTGTTGGCAGTTACTTACTGTGGGATCTTCAATTACCATTTACAGCTATTTTCAAAATAATGAAGACACACTGCATTTTCTAGTAATTTGCATAAGAAAATACTGATTTTTCTTTGGGAAGACAACATGTGTGACTGATAAATGTTTTGTTATTCTTCTCTAAAATTGCAGCATGGGAAATGAGTTTGAGAAAATACTGTCAGTTCCAATTAATTGATTGTCATACAGAAATGGAGGGAACAGTAGTTGACTTATATTCTGGAAGTTCTTAGGAAGTTGAGTTGCATGCTAGTTTACGGAGCACAATCAGTAGTAGAAAGCTCATCAATTGATTTCTTAACTTGAAGAAGCTGAATTAATTTTCTACATTTCCAGTTGTCTTGTCTTATTTCTTTAATAGATCATGATGTGTTCCATGTATGGCATATGCAAAGTAAAGAATGTAGATCTTAGATTTAAAATAATAGTTTCGGCATACAAGGAGCTTCCCAACACAAATCAAGAGGTATGGAAATTCTTTAATTCCATAAAATGTTATAAACTAATTGTTTCTCTCTGTCTGTCTAACTCAAAAATAACAAACTGCACGTGAACATACAAAAGAAAACTTGTGCTTTGCTGTATCTCCATTTTGTGGAGGAGAAAACTGGCTCTAATGCTAAATGTTTCTTTAAACATCTTTCACAAATAGTTTGGTAACTCTCCTCAGAAAGCAAATGTCATTCTACTTTTTTACTTCAAAACTTATGATTCTATTTGGAGACTGGATGTATGTATTAAAGTTGCAGGCTTAATTCTGACACTGAGAAGTTTGATTCTGTGCAGGGGCCTTACTGTACTTAAATCTTTGCACAAAATGATAATTAAATCAATAGAAAATCAATCAAACAATCAAATAGTGAATTAACTGTAGGCATCCTTTTAGTAGCAGAATTTCTCATAGTATATTTGCCCATCTTAGCTAAACTCCAGACTATTCTCTGCAAGCCTAGAGAACTATTTTATCCACATCAGTCTGTAATGATTCTTTTTTTCAGCCTTCCAAGGTGTGCACAGTAGTGAAGCCTTTTTTTTTTTTTGACAGTTGTGTGTCTGTGAAAGTAAATAGAGCTTAAATTTGGAAGATGTTGTTAAAAGTACTGATGAACTGCATTGGCACTAGGTGGCTGCACCAGTTTATGAGGTAGATGCTTCTAATGATGTTCATACTTTTTTGGAAAAAAACAACAGTTTAGAACAGTTCTAAATAGTAGTTACAATGGCTTGCACACCATACAAGTGCCATCTTAGCTCTTATCTAACACAGACTTTATGAATGGTTTTATGAGTTTGTCAAATGTAAATTTTTTATCTTTTTTTTTTTTAAATCTGTGTATGATTTTCTCACCCTATGTAGACTTTCAAACGTGTTCTTATCAGGGAAGAACAGTATGACTCCATTATAGTCTTCTACAACTTAGTGTTTATGCAGAAGCTGAAAACGAACATTTTGCAGTATGCCTCCAACAGGGTAAGCCTGTTAGTTGTGTTCAGTATTCATTATTTAACTGAACAGGAATATGTAGACAATAAAACTTTATGATTATTTTATTATTTTTATAGCCTCCCACTCTGTCACCTATCCCACACATTCCTCGCAGCCCTTACCAGTTTTCCAACTCTCCTCGGCGTGTCCCTGCTGGCAATAACATCTACATCTCACCCTTGAAGAGCCCTTACAAATTCTCCGAGGGGTTTCAATCGCCCACAAAGATGACTCCAAGGTCTAGGTAGGTTGTTGACAAGCTTTTTTTTTTGGCTAAATTAAAGATATTTGGGAGATTTTTGGTGGAAGCAAATTGGAAAACTGCATAGTCTAGTTTGTCAGTAGTCTGTGGTTATTTTATCTTTTCTGGTTATAAGTTTGTGTCCTGTATTTGGAATCTTTATTCATCTTTGAGTGCTTTTTTGTTTCAATTCAGTCACTGTGCTCAAGGAGTTTGGTGGGGTGGTTGTTTTTCCATTTTTTTTCAGACTAGTCACATCCAAGAGGGGGTTTCCGACATAGTTGCTTAAATGTTGTTGACTTTGCCTCTGGATCACACTCCTGAAAAACATAAATGAGCTTTGAATGCTTGTTTAAAGAGAAAATACTGTTTTGGAACAAAATGGTTTGGAATATTGGAGCAGAACATTTCAAACTGTTGGTCACTAGTTTTTAGCAGACAGAGATGGCGGCAAGTATGCCAGTTTCCAGTGGGCTTTTCAAACTAGGATCAACTAGGCCATTGCAGCTGGCCTGCTGTGTAGAAAAATTATTATTGTATATTTTAAGTTGAAGTCCTGCATGGTTTTGATTAGCAAACCCCTAAAGGTACAGATGAAAAGATGATTATCTGGGTACCCAGCACCAAAGTGTCTTCCTGCTGGGGCCTCCAGTTCTTTCAAGCCACAATTTCTTTTCTGTCTGTGTGGTACAGTTGATTTGGGGATTCAGCATTCACTGGCCCCAGTGGGAACGCAAATGGTCTCAACACAGCGACCCCCAGTCTGGGTTTGCACTCTTTAACGCAGAGAGAGGGGAGAAGACTTGGTTAATGTCTTGTGCTAAACTGTGCAAATTTGTGGATGTAATTAGTGTTAAATGTAACTTAATCTTACTGTTAAATATACTTCTTTTCTTCATTTGGCAGAATTTTGGTGTCAATTGGTGAATCATTTGGGGTGAGTTTTAACATTTTTAATGTTTGGGCTTGAATGCATGTAGCTTTTGGAGGAATGGGATAGCTTGCTGACACCTGTAGAACTGGCCAGTGAACATCTCTAATTTAACGTAGTATTTTGATGGAATCTGTGAGCACAAAGATTACAGGGGAGTCCTGTTAAGTCCTTTCAAATATCCAGACTTTACTTTTAAAATGTTTTGCATTTTATTTCAGTTGCTTTGAAAGAAGGTAGAGTTCTTAAACTGCACTTTTAGAACTCCTAATTTTTTTCTTAGTGGATAATCTGGAAAGTTTGAGTAGTTTCGGGATTTATTGGCAATTCTTT